CAGGGCAAGATATGACAAAATAATAATTTATAAATTATCAAGGGCTCATGAGGGAAGGGGGAGCGGGGAGAGAGGGGAAAAATGAGGACCTAATGCCAGGGTCTTAAGTGGAGAGGAAATGTTTTGAGAATGATAAGGGCAATGAATGTACAAATGCACTTTACACAATTGATGTATGTATGGATTGTGATAGAGTTGTATGAGCCCCTAATAAAATGATTAGGAAAAAACAAAAAACAACCACCATTTCTCACACTAATATATATTCCTAGCACCCACTCTCTGTTTTCCTCTTCTAAGGGGAAGACCAGAGAAGAACTGGTGTATTTGAATTATGGTATTGGTGGAGACTATTGGAATTCCAGGGACTGCCGGAAGAAGGAACAAATGTGGAAGAAGTACAGCCAGCATACTCCTTAGAAGGGAGGACGGTGAGACCTTGTCTCACTTACTTTGGATACAGTGTCCGCAAGAACTAGTCCCTGGAGAAGGACATCATGCTTGACCGAGGGTCAGTGAAAATAGAAGACCCTTCACTAGACGGATTGACCCAGTGGGTGTAACGGTCGGCTCAATTGTAGCAGGGATTGTGAGGGTGATGTAGGACTGGGCAGTCTTGCACTTAGGGTCCCTATGAATTGGAAGCACCTGAACACAAGAGAAGAGTCCTTTGCTATCTGCTATCTTCCTCTACCTTCTCTTGAATCCTCCTTATCTTTATTCTCCTCTCCTCCCTCACTTCTTCAGCTTCGGTCCCTCCCTGATTATCCTCACGAGTTCCTACCCGTACGCCTTTCTCTTCCCTGCCAGCGGAGACTCTAGGTAGTGAAGCTGGACAGACAGCTGGAACTAAATGCAGATGCACAATGCTCGATGGAGGTTTCTACTAAGCCTCGGTGAATCCCTTCGGACCATAGCCAAGGGATGTGAATGACCTTGCTATCAGAGAGGGCACTGTACAACCGATTATGGCGGGGGAGCGGGGAGGGAGGGGAAAAATGAGGACCTGATGTCGGGGGTTTAAGTGGAGAGAAAATGTTTTGAGAAATGATGTACAAATGCGCTTTACACAATTGATGTGTGTATGGATTGGGATAACAGTTGTATGAGCCCCTAATAAAATGTTAAAAAAACAAACCGATTATGGCAGATATCGTCAGGTTAAAATGGAATGCCTTATCAATTGATCTCCCCTTTGATCCACTTTAAAAACTGCTCAAGTTTTTAATATTTTATGCATTCTTTTGGGATGAGATTTTCCCATGTTTTTCTTTCTAGTCATTGTTGTTGAGCTGGTTTTGATTACTTCTCTGCTTCCTGTTTGTATTTTGTATGATTTTCTATCTGTGAAGCCCAGGATAGGTAGATCTAGAGATAGGAACTGAACTGATCGTCTCCTAGGGAGATAGCAGAGGAGGATGAGGGGAAATGGGGAACTAACGGCAACGAATCCAAGAAGGAAGTGTTGCTAACTTGACTATGGTGATGATCGCACTAGTGTCCTTAATATAATGGTACCATTAAATTGTATATGTGAAGTATATCCCAGTAAAAACTTTTTTTTTTAAAGAAAAACTGGTAAGATCTGCTAAAGCTGAACAACAACAACAACGTCACGTCCGTTGAGTCAATGCTGACTCGTAGCCGTCCTCCAGGACAGGGCAGAATTGTCCCTGTGGGATTCCGAGATGACAGGGCATTCATTTGACAAGGACGAGTAGAAAGCCTGTCTTTCTCCTGAGAGGCAGCTGGTGGCTCCGAATGTGCAGTTAACCTCTCGTGCCACCAGGGAGCCTCAAGCGGAACAGACACAATGCAAAACCTTTTCTTCCTAGTAGTTCCCTCCGAGATGGAACTTATGGTGGGGGGGCCACACTTTCTTTTTGGTTTCTGGTTACTTAGCAATGGATTATTTCTATTCAGAAAAAAAATCAATACAACTTTTTAATCCGAAAAAAAATCATAATTTTCTATCTGTCCATTGAGATGATCTCAAGGAGTGAGGAAAGGGGAGGGGAAGGGGAGGATGAGGAAGAGCCCTGTGGAGGGAGCCCCATTGCAGCCTGGGCCCATCAGCATTGGTGATGGCCCTGTCAGAGCCTCTTATTTATTGGTCAGAGGCCCTCTGTCCTCCCTTGCTGGTCACTAGTCATTTGAGACTTAGTCACCCAATGTTACTCAGTTGGCTACAGAGTGGGTCAGGACACCCAGCACTATTGAAGGCAAAAAATGAGTCAGGAATACTCCCGCCACCTTGATCCTAGGGGGGCAAAGAGTTACCCCGTGAACTCCCAGTCTTTCAGCCTGTGGTGTGGGCAAGAGTTCAGAATTGTGGGCCTACTGAGAACACGAGTAACTCTTTATTCCTATTAGTCCTACCTCACAGAGCATTTGTATGATGTGCAAATGTTGTGCGATTCAAAGCAATAGAGCGACTTTTAATGTCTCCTCTACTTCACGGAGAAGGGGGCTTGGTGCTGTGGTGGTGAAGCGGCACTCGGATACCACCAAACACTTCGCCAGAGAAAGAGAGGAGGCTTTCCACCGTGAGTCAGGACTGACTCGGTGGGCGTGAGTTTGGTTGTTGGGAACTGCTTCCGGAAGAGCACGGGCCAGGGTTAGCAGAGGAGCCCTGGTGGTGCAGTCGTGAAGTGCCCACTGCGAATCCAAAGGTTGGCGGTTCAGACTCAGCAGGAACTCTGCTGGAGAAGGAGGTGGCCATCAGTTTCAGTAAAAATGGACAGCCCTGGAAATCCTCTGGGGCAATTCAATGAGTCCAGCAAGCTCGTCATGAATCGGAACCTAAACTTTGGTATGGGTTATGGAGTCAGCTAGGAGAAAGATGAGACTCTCTACTCCCCAAAGAGTGAGACTTGGAACCATCCCCACCCCCACCCCCCACCCCCGGGGGCAATTCTCCCGAGTCCTATAGGGTCACTATAAGTCAGAATTGAGTTGATGGTGGTGAGGTTTTGTGTAGCTAACGGGGTCACATGGGGATTAGGGTCAGAGGGCAGGCAAGTTGGGATCTTCCTATCCCTGATCATCTCCCTGTCCGGATCGCCATTTCTCCTAGAGCAGCGGTTCTCAACCTGGGGGCCAAAGACCCTTTCACAGGGGTCGCCCGATTCATAACAGTAGCAAAATGACAGTGATGAAGTAATTATATGGTTATGAAAATAATTTTATGGTTAGGGGGGGTCACCGCAACACGAGGAACTGTATTAAAGGGTTGCGACATTAGGAAGGTTGAGAACCAACCACTGCCAGATAGAAAGTGGGCAGAATGACTCCTCCCTCATAGAACGGCTGGAGAATTAGATGAGCTAACAGATAAAGTACCTAGCAGAGAATGTGAGTTGATTCCAATTCACAGCGACCCCCTGTGTACAGAGTAGAACTGCACGCCCCAGGGCTAACAGTCAAGTATTAACCATTTGCATCACTCAGGGACTCCCAGTACATACTCCAAACCCAACCCAACTCACTGCCTGCCCTGGAGCCGATTCTGACTCATAACAACCCTATAGAGCAGAGTAGAACTGCCTCTCTGGGTTTCTGAGGCTACACATCATTGCAGGAGGCAAAGAGCCTCCTCTTTCTCCCAAGGAGACGCTAGAGGTTTTGAACTTCTGACCTTGTAGTTAGCAGCCCAATGCATAATCCATAGTACCACCAAGGCTACATTAGTACATCCTAAGCATTTTAAAATATATTTTTCTTCTCTGAAATAGCACTCAGGGTGCTCTCTCAATGCTGGATACCAACCGTGCTCTTACAGAGTCGTGCATTTGATAAACGTATCTTACACCTGTTTTGCAGCGTGAAGTGGATCATGAGGTGGGCACTAGGGATTCCGTGGTGAACTAACAGCCCAGACCCTTAGACGTTTGCTCACTGACCACAGCAGTTTTTCACAGTGCTGCATTTTTGCTCACGACGTGCAGTGTCCCGCTCAGTTACCTCCTATAACTCTTAGTCAGCTCTTAGAGCTTAGCTCAGGTTCTGCCTTCTCTGCTAACTTTCCCCTCGACCATGCTACTTAGAATGGGTCACCTCCAGCCTGGTCTCCTGGTTTCTTTATTTCAGCCTCCACTCTATCTGGAAGCTCCGTGAGGGCAGCCTTCCAGCTCTTTAGTTCTGTGTGCATACTCATTAAATGCTGGAAGCCAGGCCTTTCAAAGCAGATACAAGGCTTTGAGAGCAATGGAATCCCAACTTGGTCTTGAACGCCATGAAACAGACTTCACTCCCAATTCTCTCACCTGATAACCAAATGCCTTAACAGCCGCCCGCCTCTCAGCTTTATTTTTCTCTTATCCTGGAGTTCACAGTGGAAGATGCAGGTTGGACCCAGGGGGTTGCCAGCCCAGGGTCCTTGGGGCACAGGGATTCCCACCTCCAGGGAATGGCCATAGTCCCTTTCCCTAATCTCTCTGTTTCTCACGCTGCCTGGATGCCAACCCGCAGGAAAGAATGAAGTCTGCCCATCTCCAGCAGAGCATCATAAGCATTGCTTAAGATTCTGCATGAGCAAGATATGACAAAATACTAATTTATAAATTATCAAGGGTTCATGAGGGAGGGAGGAGTGGGGAGGGAGGGGAAAAAATGAGGACCTGATGCCAAGGCCTTAAGTGGAGAGCAAATGTTTTGAGAATGATGAGGGCAATGAATGTACAAATGTGCTTTACACAATTGATGTATGTATGGATTGTGATAAGAGTTGTATGACCCCCTAATTAAAAAAAAAAAGATTCTGCATGATCTGGTATGAAAGGACAGAGGTCCAGGGAGTGAGTGATAATCATGAGTAACAGGGTGACCTCAACCCTAGTGACGCCACTGGGGCTCTCTTTGACTTCTCCTTTCTGGCAGGGCAGGGGTTAAAGGTGAATTGCAACATATCTCAGGGCTGAGTCACCATCCCTTGACACTCCCCCCCAACTCCCCTCAGCTGATGTTTTATAAAGAGCTCCAGAAGCCGGCAGAGAGAAAGGAACTGGAGGTAAGAGCCCCTTCCTAGGCCTGCTTCCTTAGCCTCCCTGAAACCTCAGGGCAGACAACATAGACAGTCTCTGGAGCTCCTGCCTGGTGGACCATGAATTGGCAGCAACTGTGGCTGGGTCTCCTACTGCCCTTGACAGTCTCAGGCTGGGCTGTGGGGCCTGCGGAGAACGATGCGGCCGTGGTGAGTCCCAGGGAAAGAGACTCCAGCAGGGGAAGGGGAGGATGTGTCAGTCCAAGTGGCACAATGCCATCCAAGCCTCCCTCCCGATCTTCATCCGGCCTGCCTTTCTTGTCTTTCCTCTGCTCTGTGATCAACCTAGACTGTGCCCCCACTTCACCCCCGACCGACCACCTCGCTGCCCCGTGTTCTACCTGAGCCCCTTCCCTGAAGTCCTGTCCTATAGGCCCTCCATGTCTAGTCCTCCCCTATCCTGATGGGCCTGGTAGACTTTGCCTGAGACTGACCCCTTTTTCATTCGGCTTGCTCTCACCCCATCCTAGAGTTACCTGCTGCAGTATGGATACCTACAGAAGCCTCTAGAAGGACCTGATGACTTCAACCCAGAAGACATTACAGAAGCCATCAGGTGAGAGGTTACAAAGCCTTCAGAGTGGGCGTCTGGGGTCTTCTTCCCTCTTCTCTTCCTTTGCTTCCCTCGGGCCCTCTGTTGCCTGCTCCAAGTCCCTGTCTGGGATCGGGGGCTGGGTGGTTGTCACCGTCAGGATGTTGGGGCAGGTGGCAAGATGGGGATCCAAGGATAGAGAACAGAGTCATTGGCTCTTCTGAGGCCCAAGGACCTTCTTTGCATCCTTGAGGGGTGTAAATATTTAACACGCTCAGCTGCCAACCAATACGTTGGAGGTCTTGGTCTACCCAAAATTACCTCTAAAGGAAGGCTTGGCAATCCATTTCTGGAAAACAACCCAAAACAAAACCAGCTACGGACAACCCCGTGGAGTGCAGTTCTCCTTCGGAACACTAGGGGCGCCATGAGTCAGAACACCCAAAGTACGGATGGTCACATCTCACAGGAAGGATAATTGCGGTGTGGCTGTGAGTCCCGCTGAGTTAGAGGTGAAAACATGGTGTTCCTTTCAATGGAGCCTTGGGTGGTATAGTGGGTACTCGTTGGGCTGCGACCCACTTGGTCAGCAGTTCAAAACCACCAGCAGCTCTGTGAGGGAAGGACTGGGCTTTCTACTCCCATAAACAGTTAGTCTCAGAAACCCACAGGGGGTCATACGACTCAAAATATGAGAGGAAAACTAGAAATATCATAAAAGTTGAATTACTTTCACTGCCAGGAAGTCAATGCTGATTTCCCCCAGCCTGTTCTCAACCATAGTCACAGTCCCTTGAAGAGCTTGTATGCACTGGACACTGGGCAGGCTGGACTTCCGGGGAATACCGCTGGGAGAAGGCTGAGTGAGAACAGATCCTGATTAGGGGGGAGGGCGGGGTGCTGATGGGAGAGCTTTCAAAGGAGGGAAAGGGCACTTCCTCCGAGCAGGGGGGTGAAAACTGCCCTGTGGTCAGAAGGTCCCCATGGGGGCCCTCACTCAAGTAAAAGACACAGAAAATATTCCCCTTTTCATGAAATAGAAGAGAAAGTCCCAATTATGAGGCTGGGAGGCTGGGAGCGCCCGCCAGCCATGCTTGATGGTCACGCTGGGCAGCAAGGGGCCACGTGCTATCCCCAGATCCCAGCCACTGCAGGGGTCCCGGCCCTGGGCTCTGCTCCGTTAGGTCCATCCAGCTCCTTCCTTCCAGAGTTTTTCAGGAAGCATCTGGGCTGCCAGTCTCGGGTCAACTGGATGAGGCCACAAAGGTCCATATGAAGCTGCCCCGCTGCGGCCTGGAAGACCCCTTCAACCAGAAGACCCTTAAATACCTGCTGCTGGGTAAGAGCCGTGCCTGGGGAAAGTAGGACGAAGAGCGGGCTCTGGAAAAGCCGGGGCAGCTCAGCAATGAATGGCCAGAGGTTGGTGGGAAGATCTGTGCTTCTGATCTGGTTTTCTCGTTTGGTAATCAGGTCGCTGGAGGAAGACGCACCTGACATTCCGCATCTTGAACCTGCCCTCCAACCTCTCACCCCACGTGGCTCGGGGAGCCTTGCTTCAAGCCTTCCGGTATTGGAGTGACGTGGCACCCCTGACCTTCCGAGAGGTGAAGGCTGGCTGGGCTGACATCCGTCTATCCTTCCATGGCCGCCAAAGTAAATACTGCTCCAGAAACTTTGATGGGCCAGGTAAGGACCTTCTCCCACCTCATAGATCTCTGTCCCCTTGAGCCTGAGACCTTGGCGTTTTAGTGTTCAGGCTGTCCCCTATGCCCTATTAGCACATGCTAATATTCCCCAGAGGAACAACTGGGCACCTCCCTGGGGCTTTACTAAGCCTCCTCTTTAGAGATTGTGCCTCATTCTTTGGCTTAAGTTCCCCCACTGAAGGAACATCACAGAGAGTGGCCCGGGACAAAGTCACGGGACAGAGTCCTGGGTATCTCTGTGAGAATTGGGTGATGACTGTAGCGGATGAGTGTGTGTGCGTGTGTGTGGGTATTGAAAGGAGAGGAGGAAGCATCCAAGAGGCAGGGACTACAGACAGGGGAGTTTTAAGGAAAGGAGGAAATTGAGCAACCCAATGGTAGCACAGCGGTTAAGGCAGTTAGCTGCCAAGCCAACCGGGACAAGTTCAAACAGTCTACCCCTGAGTCTTGGAGGTCCGATAGTGCAGTTCGACTCTGTCCTGTAGGAGCGCTGATGGGAACCCACTCGACCATGGCCGGTTTCCAGGAGTCACTGGAGTTTGTAATGCCAGGGGGTGCCCCAGCTTCACGGCCTCCGACCTCCTCCTTCACTTCCTTTTCATTTGTCCAGGGAGGGTCCTGGCCCACGCTGACATCCCAGAGTTGGGCAGTGTGCATTTCGATGAGGATGAACTCTGGACTGAAGGAACCTACCGGGGGGTGAACCTGCGCATCATCGCAGCCCATGAACTAGGCCATGCCCTGGGCCTCGGGCATTCCTGGTATGCCAAGGCCCTCATGGCCCCGGTCTACACTGGCTATCAGCCCTCCTTCAAGTTGCACCCAGACGATATAGCAGGGATCCAGGCTCTCTATGGTCAGTCCCTTTCTCTGAGGAGCATGAGGGTTGGTCTGGTCAGCATCTCTTCTTGAGGGGAAATGGATGGCTTAGCTGCGTTCTCTCTCCCTGCCCGCTAATTCTTTTAATGTCGTCACTTTCGGAAACTCTTCTATGTTTAATCCCACTTCCGGGCCTCCTTCAGCTCACATCCATTCTTGGGGTTGGAAACTACATATCTGAGCAAATCATTCTCCTTCCTGTTACCTCTCAAAAGGAGTACTTGCTTCCTGCTGATATTGATACGAGTTCACCTAGCCCTACGGGGAACTCACTGGGCCTCTGAACTGAACTTACAAAAGATGGGGCGGTGGGGGGAGTGGGGAGGGGTCATGTTCCATGAGTTGTCTCTCAGAACCACATGATTTCACCCTATAGGCAAGAAAACTCCCGAGAGAGAGGATGAAGAAGAGACAGAGGTGCCCTCTGTAGCCCCAGTGCCAACAGAACCCAGCCCCATGCCGGACCCCTGCAGTGGTGACTTGGATGCCATGTTGCTGGGTGAGACCCTACTCCTTCGCGCGCAGACAGGTAGTGGGGCAGCCTGATGACCCTGAGGTCAGGACAAACGGAAGTCACATGGATCTCCAATAGCGGGGGAGGCGGATGGGACGAGATGTGTGGAAAGAACAACTAGGGGTCAATGGAAAGTGGACCCAGCAGGCATTTTCCTCGGTTGCTGCCTAGAAGAGCCATGAAATCATATTTGGAAATACTGAAACAGGGAGGAAACAATAGTAACCAGGGAGGGTCTGGCACCCGGTTGGAAGCGACGTGGAACAGAGGGTGAGGTCTCTAAGCAGTCACGCTCTGTGTAGGGCCTTTGTTCTGTTGATTAGGTCAAAGTTGAATTCCTGGGAGCAATGAAGGAGAAGTTGAGTCCTGGGTCCTTTCCCTCTGTCTTCTTGGGGTCAGAAGAATTCTTGAGGCATCAGTTGGTGGGAGGATGGGAGATGACCAGCCTGCCCGACACACCCACACGTCTCTACTTGAACCCTACCTTTTTGTACTTCCTGATACATCGTTTTCTTGCAGGGCCCCAAGGGAAGACCTATGCCTTCAAGGGAGACTATGTGTGGACTGTGACAGATTCAGGTCTGGGTCCCTTGTTCCGAGTATCTGCCCTTTGGGAAGGGCTCCCCGGAAACCTGGATGCGGCTGTATATTCTCCACGAACACAATGGACTCATTTCTTCAAGGGTAAGGGGATTGGTGATAGCATCTTATCTGAGGACCTAGTCTCAGATGAACCGTCAGAGGGAGGGGAAAACATCTCCTTTCTGGAAGGGTGAACTTGAAGGGCTGAAAGGTATCCTCTGAGGGCAGAGAGGGACTTGCTGCTTCTCTCTCCACTCTCAGGAAACAAGGTGTGGTGCTACATTAACTTCAAGCTGTTGCCTGGCTTTCCCAAGAAGCTGAATAGGGTAGAACCCAACCTGGATGCAGCTCTCTATTGGCCTCTCAACAAAAAGGTGTTCCTCTTTAAGGTATATAGTTCACAGAAGGGCAAGCCCTTTAGGAAGGGTGGGCTACCTCACACAGAGGAGCAAAGGATTGCTCTGGGAGTATCTATCTGCAGCGGGAGTGATGTGGGGCCAGGCTTTGGTGGTCCCCCGTTCTCTCCTCAGCCTTCTCTTCACCCCCACCACTCTCCTTCTAGGGCTCAGGGTACTGGCAGTGGGATGAGCTCGCCCCAACTGACTTCAGCAACTACCCCAAGCCAATCAAGAAGCTATTTACGGGAGTGCCAGACCAGCCCTCGGCTGCAATGAGTTGGCGGGACGGCCGAGTCTACTTCTTCAAGGGCAAACACTATTGGCGCCTCAACCGGCAGCTTCGAGCAGAAAAAGGCTTTCCCAGAGATATTGCCCAGAACTGGATGCACTGTCGTCCCCGGACCACAGACAGTACTCCAGCCAGTGGGGGTGCCATTGCCTCAACCATGGGTGACACCCTCTTTTCCTTGCCTGGTAACATCACTTTCCGAGAGCCGAAGTAAGGCCTGAGGCAAGTGTCTGCTCACTAGAACTGGGCAGGCGCTACAGCCAGGGTCAGTCATAAGAACCCAGCCATTAAGTGTGTTAGGAGCACGGGCTTCCAAGAGGCCTCAGTTCTAGCCAGCACTCCCTGTACTTTTGCCCTGCAGCCTGGTGCTGCTGACGGTAGCTGGGTCAGACCCAGCTCCACCCATTTCCTTCCTAGCCTCATCCTCCAAAGCGCTTCAAACTGTGTCCTCTACAGCCTGGAGGACAGTGGTGGGGTGGGGAGCAAGTGTTGGTCGGGCCTCCGGCTAACAGGAGGCGGCAGCCTGGGAGGCTGGATGCCTGTCCTGTTCTTTCTAGATAAAGTACAAAAAAAAACCCAGAATGGTCAGTAACTGAGCAAGTACTTTGAAGTCCTTGGGAATCACATTTATTTATCAGCAGGTTAATTAATCTCTTTGGGCTTCAGATTTCCCATCTGCACAATGAAAGTCAACACCCCCCTCACAGGGATTGCTGCATTAAACCAGTCTATATGAAGTGCAATGTCTGGCCACATGTGTGCTAATAAAGGTGAACTCCATGTTCCCCAGAGAGGGATGATGTTTTTCCTTGGCTCTGTGTGTGAGTGTGTATAAAGCCCACTCTAGTCCAGTCTGAAGGCACCCGAGCAGGGGACAGAGGATCTGTCGACATGGCTGACTCTTGATTTGGGGCTACAAAGGAAAAACAACAACAGCAGACGCCAGACTCCCCAGTTTATTATTCAATGCCATTTTATTCACATGCTCCCTCATTCTTCCTTCCTCCCACCGTGTCTGGCTGCCCAGGGATGTGATCAATCGTCCTGTATGCTCTCTGGGGAAGAAGGGACCGACTGGAGAGTCGGAGGGTTGGAGGCGGGGAAAGTTAGAGTGAGTTAGTGGTTGGAACTGAACCAGAACTTTTAAGGTCAAGGAGGAAATTAGGCTCGCCTATCGTGAAAGGCAGAGAAGGCACTGGTCTCCCATGCAGCCCCCAGACCAGGCTCCTGGGGGCCAAGGGGCAAGAGTCTGGCACGTGGGCCAACACTGTGCTTGGAGCAGGAGGCAGTTCTTGTGCCAGGCAGGCACAGAGCCAGGCACCGGTCTTCTCCAAGTTTGAGGAACACGGACAGGGAGCACCATGGAGGATAGTGTCCCCAACTGAGGTAGAAGAAGGGGGCTTTAGCCTATGGGATCCAGGGAGAAAGGCTAACCAGGATCTCCCCTACCCCCTACTGAAGGGCCAGTGGATTAGATCATGCTAGGATGCCTCTGTGCCCTTCTCCCCATCAAAAGGCTACCGAGAGCTTTAGGAGGTGTTCTGACTTCCTAAAGGTCCTACAAAGACAAACCCCCTAATTTTACCATTGCGAAGCACACTGAGGCTAATTGGGCAAAGGCTATCCCAGTTTGGAGAGATTAGAGAGTCAGTTCCTTTGGGGAACAGACACCTCTATGGTTGGATGGAGGTAGATACTCAACTTCCATTTATTGCCCCACCTCCCAGGGTTCTCTCGATCCCCGAAATATATCCCTACAGATATGGACTGGGTTGGAGCACACAGATAGATCTGTAAGCCCAAGAGGTGAGGAAGTCTCTGTGTGGGGCCTGGGGACACTGGCTCTGCCCACCTAGCCTTTCTAGCCCCCTTACTAGGGAAGGTGGCAGCCTAGGAGGCAGAGGCTCAAGTCTGGGTGGAACCAGCCGGTGTGGTGAGGGGAACAGTGGAACTGCAGTCAGAATCCAGGTCTAGAACGGTGTGGGGGGCAGTGGCCTGGGTGCTTGGCCCCAGTTGGCGCTCTCGAAGACTCTGGAGATAACTCTGGAGAGGCACAGGGTAGGAAGGAAGGAAGGAAGGAAGAAGTCCAGGTCAGACTCCGCCTCCTACCCTGACCACCCCCCCAGGGTGCCAGCCCCCACTCACTGGAGCTAGGCTGTCAGCAGGGCTCCGGGCACTGGGGGGCAGCTGGCGGCGGTAACTGCCCTCACAGAGTCCCACTCCTGGAGGGGTCCGTTGCCACTTGGCCTCTTGCTGACGGACACGGAGGAGCTGGAGATGCCTCTGCTGGCGGCTCAGGATTACTGCTTGGGAGGAGGCAAAACAGGGGCAGGGAAGCTTCTTTAGAGCCCGAATCTGCCTCCTGTGCCCCCTCCCCGCCCCCACCAGACACCCACTGTAGAGAAACCCTGTGGACCTCCCTGTCATGGTCTTCTCATGCCTCATCTCTCCCCACAATTACTCTTGAACAACCATGACAACACCTCTTTGGAATGATCCGACCCAAGCTGCCTTTCCTTCCGTAGGAATGCCCAGCCACTCTGCTCCGTTTCCCTTCACCAGTGCTCATCCCAGTCCCACTCCCACCTTCTTTGGACCCTCCACAACGAATTTCCTTCCTTTCAAAGCCCTGGCCGACACATCTTCGGAACACCCACCCTCTTCCCGCAAATGTATTTCTTCCAGTCTGCAAACTGGGGCGACGAGTGGGTACGCATAGGTTGGCTGTTTCTGTGCTAACTTACCACTGGCGTGGCCTCCGTGTTCCTCAGCCATGAGCTTCCACTGGGCCAGGGCCCCCAGGGCCCCCAGGGCTGGCCAGGCCCCAAGTAAGACCCAGCTATACCAGCAGAGAGGCGGCAGGGCTGGAAGGGCCTGCAGCCGTTGGCCCAGCCGACTGCCTAGTGCCAGCTCCTCCAAGAAGAAGTCAGCACAGGCCACCAGCACTGCAGCTCCTAGCAGGGAGGTGCCAAGAACCGTGAATGGGCGTGGCCACCGAAGGGTGAGCAGGGCTCCCAGCAGCGCCAGTCCCACCAGGCCCCCGGCTGGGACCCAAGCTGAAGGCGGTTGGTATATGGGCTCGGTGCCCAACAGTGTGCCGGCGCCCAAAGTCAGGCCTAGCAGGAGACCAGTCAGGAAGAGGCCAACACTGCGAACCAGCATGGTAACCAGGCCGCAGAGGAGTCCGATGCCCAGCGCGATGCCGGCGCTCACCTCCAAGCTCAGCTGTGTCTCTAGTACCCGCTCTTTGTGGCACAACAGGAAGATCACCAGCGCTCCGGACAGCAGGCCAGAGAGAAACATTACTGCCTTGAAGCAGCGGTAGCCTGGGAAGGGAGGCAGGAGGCAGTGAGAGGCAGAAATGGGAGTCTATAGGGCTGAGTGAGGAAAGGCTATGCAGGGGAGCTGAATACAGGAGTAGCAGCTGCAAGAAGCTGCAAGGTAAGGGGCTGAGAGGCATCATTTCACGAAAGGCAGGGGGGACTTTTCAGAACCTAGTCCTTCCAAGGATGGTAGGTGACAGACATGAGCATCTGCTGATTCAGGCTATTGGGGAAGGGGGATAGAGCCTCTGGCTTGGAGGATTATTTGGGAGTAGAAGTTTGAGGTCAGAGGCCAGGGGGAAGCAAATTAGAGCAGCCAGGGGTTGAGCAAGACCTAGGGAAGGGCCAGAGGTGCCACTGAGAGAACAGGTGTGTGGCACACTGAAGGGAGGCATTCCTTGGTAGAGGAGTGGAGCTGGGCCAGGAGAAGAAAGAGGTGGCATCATTCTTGAGGGTGACAGTTGTGGGCAGCAGCTCCCCAAGACCCTCACCGAAGCAGCAGTAGATGATCCCAAAACAGCAGCAAAGGGCGCACACTAGGGTAGGTGCTAGGTCAGGATTGTTCTGGGGTTCCAAGATACATCTTGGGTCAGGAGGCTGTGGGAGTTGTTGGTTAAAAGGCCTGGGGTCAGAGGTCAGAACCAGGGGCAGCAAGGCTTCCTCCATGCCCAAAGAGGAGGTAGTCACAGGGGGGAGGTGCCCATTCCTCTCATCCATCCATCAATGTCTTGAAGGGGCTGGGAAACCTGCAAGGGAATAGGGGGTAGTAACTCAGATGCCCACGACTAAGGAGGGTTCTACAGATGTGTTTTCTTTTGAAGAAAGGTCTGTTTCAGAATGGCCTGGCTGGAAATCATTTAAGAAATCGGTGGGAATGGGTTCAGAGAAATGAGCAGGCTCCACACTGCCCTAAGAAACGAGGGTACCACCAAGTGAAACTTAGATAAACCAACCAAAAATGTTCATAAGCTAATGAGTCTGTGTGTGCCCTCTGCGCTTCCAGGTTACAGTGGAAGTAGGATGCTCTGGGTCTGAGGAGGGAAGGGCCCAAGGGGCAGTAGCCAGAGGAACTCAAAAAGCTCCAGTACCTTGTTCCAGCTGGAAAGCTTATCCTATCTGTAGCTCGGGCTCAATCGACTGGAAAGAAAAGGGTTACAAGAAGGGGAGCGGGAGGAGGAAGAGGAGAGAATGAGTCATGGTGGGGTTTTGGACAGCTGCTTTAACCCCAGAAAAGGAAGAGGGGAAAAACACCAGACCCCCAAGGAGTTTGGAACAAGGACCTAAGTAGAGGTGGTCACCCACACTTAGTCAGGGTTTTGAAGCCTCTGTTTCAATGTGGTGAAATGGTTGTTGACCGAAGGGGTGACCAGCCACAGTCCAACTTTCATGGCCCCTCATGGAAGCAATGGGCACTTCCCCCATAGACATTTCATATCCTGGTAGCCACTCCCGCTCCAGCTTTTTCCTACCTCTCCCTGGCCCCTGGAGTGTCAGGGATGCCAGGGGGATTTAAACTCCGTTCCTGAAAGGAGGCGGACACCCAGGAGGGACTGGCATTTGGGGCACTATCGCGATGGGTGGGGTGTATGCATGGATTTTCCTCCAGCTGTCTTCTTTTGGACATCAAGGTCCAATCAGGCTGGAAGGGCTATTTAGGAAAACCCTGGAGTTCCTCTTCCCAATCCACTGGGAAGTGTGGGGACCCTAAGCAAGGGGAAGTTGGGGAGGGGGTGCCTACTCACCACCCTGGCGGGGCTGAGGAGAGGAAGGGGTGGAAGTGCTTCCTTCGATTCCGGGCTGCTTGCTTGCCGGAAGGTCCTAGGCGTCAGGCTGGCTTGTGTGTTTGTGTGTGGGGGGGGTCGTCCACAAGGGCACCACTCTGTTTCCCCCTAAACTCTTGTAAGTCGTAGCCAAAGTCCTGGCAGCTAAATGCAACTAGCTTGGGGGTGGAGGATGGGGACAGGGTGGGAGGGGGTGACATCACGGAGGCGGGCCCCTTCAACTCTTTCCCCTGCATGTGTGTGGGGAGGACCTCGGATACCATTGTGCTATTTCTGGCCCAGAGACCCCCCAAAGCACAACAGGGAGGGGACCTCGGGGAGTATTGCGAGAGGCTTGGGGAAAGTATTTGAATACTTAGATAACTGGCTAACATGGAGCTCAGAAATACCCAACTAGGGTCCCAGTGTCCCCCTGGTTCCCACTTGGTTCCTTCCACTTCCCAGAGAATTGGAGTATTGTCTTCTCGGGAACCGGGTGGTCGGGATGGGGGACCATGGAAAGGACTGTTATTGGCCTGGGGGCACCAGTAGGGGATCCATGGGAGGGAAACCGTGAAGATCCAGAGAAGTTGGAAAGGTCACAGATAGGAGTTGGTTTAAGAGGTTAGAGACGTGTGCTCAGGAGGGGACTGAAGGCGACCGGACTCAGCCGGGTCTGCGTGGGGGCGGGGGCGCGCGTGCGGGCCTACGGACAGGCTCGGTATGCAAATGAGATGCAAAGCTGCATGCAGATGAGTGCAGTGTTACTTGGCACTGAGCTCCGGCCCTAACCCCAGCGGAGCTACATCCCCCTCCCTCCCCCCACCCCCGCCCAGTTTCCCGGCTCTGTTCCTAGACCGGGCCTGGAAGCTGCGTCCGGAGGGGCGGATCTGGGCCGTGGGAGCTACGGTTTTCTAAAGGGGCAACTCGCCAGCGGGGTCAGGCGCTAGGGAGGCCCAAGGTTTGCTGGGAAAGGAGGGGCAGCGTTGCGGGGCGAGCGCGGGGGCGAGCCTGGGGCTCCCTTCCCATGCTCCCATCCCTGCGGATACAAAGGGGCCTCTGTCCTCGGCGGCCGCCCGCGGGGAGCGGATCAGGGCGGTGGCTCCTCTGCGCCCCCTGGTTTTGTCTGCAAAGGAGACGGGACCTGGGGCTCGGGAACTGGCCTCTCTCCCAACCTCAGGAGAGCCCGGGAACACAAGCCGAGGAGCCCCGAGACTCTGCCCCCCGCCCGCAGGCGTTGCTGCAGCAGCGCCCACTCCAGGCGCTTCTGGGGGCGCAGCCCGCCCGGACCCTATTCCTCCGGCACGCCGCGGCCGGCCGCTTTCCTTCTCCTTCCCGTCTGGTCCCCCGCTGACCCCGGAAGTGGAAGTGGGCTCCGGTCGGCGGCCGACCCGGAAGACGGAAGCAGAGCGTGAGCGGGAGGCGGAGCCGGGGGAGCTGCTCTGGTAGCTCCCCCTGGCCCCGGACCCAGCTGCTCGAGAGGGAGGAGTTACCGCCGCCCTTCGGTACGTTACCTTCGTCCCAGCCGCAGGGGTCCGGAGTGGGCTCCCTGAGGCCCACCCTAAAGTCCGCCCCCAGATTTTTCTTTGGGGCTGCACAGTCCCCACCCTTTGGCCCCCCTTTCCGGCGGTCTTTCCGTTTCCCCCCGAGAGTGGCCCTGCGACCACACCTTTTGTGGCACCTCTTTAAGATTACAGCTTTCTGGGGAACCAAGAAGTAATGGATTGGGGGGAGGGTTGTGGATAGTTTAGCCCCGGCTTATTGCTTGGAGTAATGCATACCCCCGGAAGATGCCCCTTCCCTCTGGAGGGAGGTGGGTGCATTAAATGTCTCCCACTATAAGTTTACTTAACCCCATCAGTCCATCCTTGATATCTCTGTTACAGGCACCAGAACCGACCAGGATGGCTGTGACCTAAAACCCTCAGGAAGCCCTGGGGTCATGGCCCAGAAGCATCCTGGAGGAAGAGGGTTATGTGGCGCCCAAGGCAGCGGTGGTGCTTCCCTCAGGACTTTAGGACCCTCTGTCGACCCTGACATACGTTCATTCTCAGGACCCAGGGACTCAGCGGGCACAGTTCTTAATGGTACCCGCACCATCCCAGAGCAATCCGATCCGAAGAACACACAGCCCCCAAACCCAGCCCACTGGTCAGATCCAAGCCATGGTCCCCCCAGGGGTCCAGGACCTCCTGGAGATGGAGAGCAGCCTGCTCAGAGTGAGTTATCTTCCGAAGAAGAGTCAGGAGTGGACCAGGAACTTGCAAGAGGGAATGAGGCCGAGTACCAGGAAGATGGGAACCCTTCTTTTACTTCCGTTCCACCTACTTGCAACTGCCAGGGAAATCCTGGAATCCCTGAAGGTCTTTACTCCGAGGGAGGAGATAGCGCTTCGGTCAACTTTTGCCACCATTGTACCTCCCCAGCCTTGGCAGAGGATGAAGAGTTGGAAGAGGAATATGACGAGGAGCCTCATAAGTTCAGTGATTTTCCACGTGCGCCCAGTGGAAAGAAACCTCCACCCCGCAGACAGCGGCACCGCTTTCCAACCAAGGAGGATGCTCGAGAGGGTGGACGCAGAGATCCTCGGTCCCCTGGGCGACATCGACTGGGTGGGAGGCGAAGTCAGGCACACAGACACAGAGGCCTGGCACTGTGGGGAGCAGAGGAACTCTGTCAGCTTGGACAGGCTGGCTTCTGGTGGCTGATTGAACTGCTAGTATTGGTAGGAGAGTATGTGGAAACTTGTGGGCATCTCATCTATGCATGCAGGCAGCTCAAAGGCAGTGATCTGGACCTTTTTCGAATCTGGGTTGGAGTCTGGGCTGTGCGGTTGGGGAGCTGGGCCCAGGTGATGTACCAGCTTGTGAGGCAGGGGTTTTGCTATGGAGTCGGGCTGCTCACCCGGTTTCTTAGACTACTGGGTGCTTTGCTGCTTCTGGCTCTGGCCCTCTCGTTGGGCTGTATGCAGTTGGCCTGGCGGTTTCTGGTAGGACTGGGTGACCGATTAGGCTGGAGAGGTAAGACCACTTGGCTGGTCTCTCAGCTGGATTCTCCTGCCTTGCAGCGTTTCCTGGCTCTGCTGAGAAACAGCAGGCTGTGGCAGCAGCTGGTAAAAGTGGTTCAGTGGGGTTGGCTGGAGTTGCCTTGGGTCAAGCAGAGGACTAACAGGCAGGGGGATGCACCTGGAGCTAGTGGGCGCTACTGCCTGCCCGAAGAGGAAGTGGCTCGACTTTCGACCATGGCTGCAATTCCTGAGGATGAACTAAACCCGTTCCACGTGCTGGGGGTTGAAGCCACCGCATCAGATGTTGAACTGAAGAAGGCCTATAGGCAGCTGGCAGTGATGGTATGTTTCCCCTCTTTTCTAGTCCTGTTTTGTACCCAGCTTTTATTTTCTATTCCAATTCGGGGGACAGTGGAATAAAGGGAAGGCAGTACAAGACATCAGCTTGCAGACGAGGGATAACTTATTCTTAGGAAAGAGTTAGTTGTAAAGGATCTTCAGCCTCTGTCTACCATGGATCTGATCTTCCCTCGCTTTTTCGTTTTGGGGTTGTTGTTTTTTTCCCCCATCAGATTCTATTATTATTCAAGGCAATAAACTTCATAAGAACTGTTGGAATCACTTACCCTGGACTATCCAGGTGAAGTCCTTCTGACTAGGTGAAGAGGCCTGGTCAGTGGGCCCCACAGCTGCCCTGCCCGGAACAAGTGAGGGGTTGCTGAACACAGGAAAAGCCAATTATACCAGAGAGCTAAGTGTACAAAGCAGCTTAGGCCCTGCGAGTGATTAGTCCAAAACTAGGTAGCAGAAAACAAACAATGAGTTTAATATAAACATGTAATATTAGTGTTATTAGCGATAGATACTTGGTGATTGTTACTATTTATATATTGTTCTTGCCATTTCTATGTAAGTATGACTATAAGGAACCTGTGCAAATTGCACGGAAGTATTATTTTTACCTTGCGTATATCAAACTGGATTAGAAAAACCACCCACCACCAGTAGGAAACCAAAGAGGATGGACCAACAAGGTTTTCTTTCAACCTATCCAAGGTGCAATCAAACATCAGGGTTGTAATGTACCAAAAGGCTAAATTAGTAGTTTGGTTGAAAATGCAGTGAGGGATAGCCTTAGAAATTCTCCTACTTGGGAGGGGTTGCTCGCTTTCTAGTTGTTGCTATGTTGTTGTTATTATTAGTTGCCTCTGAGTTAGTTCCAACACACAACAACACGATAACGGAAGGAAACATTACCTGCATCCTCACAATTGTTAAGTTTGAGCACATTAGTGCAACCACTATGTGGATCTATTTTCTTGACGGCCTACCTCTTTTCTTCCTGACCTGCTTTACCAAGTATGTTGTCCTTTGCCACAGATTGGCCTCTCCTGATAATGTGTCCAAGGTTCACAAAACAAAGTCTCACCATCTTCGTTTCTGGGAGCATTCTAGCCTGTACTTCTTCCAAGACAGATTGGTTTGTTCTTCTAGCAGTCCATGGTACTTTCGATATTCCTTGCCAAGCATTTAGTGCATCGGTTCTCCTGCGGCCTTTTTTATTCATTGTCTAACTTTTAGATGCATATGAGGCCCTTGAAAACACCACCGCTGAGGTCAGGCACACTAAGTCCTCAAAGTGAGATCCTTTGCGCTTCAGCAGTGTTAAGAGGTCTGGTGGTGGAGCAGGTTTGTAGGCCATCATTTGTTTTCTTGACTGCTGCTGCCATGAGCATTGTGGGCCCAAGGAAAATAAAATCCTTGAAAATTTCAGTCTTTACTTATGGTGTTGTTTACGGGACCAGTTATTTAAATTCTTTTCTGTATGTTGAATTGCAATCTTTCCTGAAGGCTGCAGTCTTGATTTCTATCAGCAAGTCCTTCAAGTCCCCTTCACTTTCAGCAAGTAAAGTTGAGTCAGCTGCATATCGCAGTTTGTTAATAAGCCACCCTCCAATCCTGATGCCTGGATTCTTTTTCATGGACTCCAGCTTCTTGGATTATTTGCTTAGCATATGGGTTGAATAAGGATAGTGAAAGAATATAACCCTGCCACACACCGTTCCTGAGTTAAAATCAGTTCTTTTCCCTAGTAAAATCACCTAGCATTCGCTTATTTTGTTTGCATGACTGCCTCATGGTCTGTGTTATAGGCTCTGAATAAGCACGATAGAGTATTCAGGAGTTCCTATTCTTCTCAATGTTATCCATAGTTTGTTATCCACACAGTCGAATGCCCTTTGCATTTATTGACTCATGAAACACAAGTAACGGTAAGTAAACATCTTTCTGGTATTTTCTCCGGTTCAGCCAAGAGCCATCTGGTGTCAATAGTGATATCTCTTCTTCCACATTCTCTTCTGAGTCTCACTTGAATTTCTGGCAGCTCCCTGTTGATGTACTACTGCAACCGTTTTTAAATGATCTTCAGCATAATTTTGCTGGGCTTTGATATTAATGATATTTTTGATTATTCCCACATTCTGTGGGGTCATCTTTCTCTGGAGTCGGCACAAAGACCCCTTCTATTAGCTAGGGAGCAGTCTTGTTGGTACAGTGACTGTATGTATTCCTTTTTTTTTAGTAGTTTTATTGGTATATAATTCAATGGTTTAAATATATTTTCAAAGAGTTATGCAATCATCACTACAATAAATTTTAGAATTTATTCATTCTTAGCTTCCCGTTATCCCTCAACCTCCCCTTAAGAAACTGTTACTGTCGGTACTATCTCTATGGATTATTTATCCTGGAT